ATTGGCCGCCTCCTGAAAAGATATCTCGCTCCCAGCCTCTCTAGCCATCTGGAGAAGAATAGGCTGAATAAGTCCATCAATAAACCGTCTCACTCTCTCCCTCTCAGTGGGAAGTATAACAATAGCATGGCGGGCCAACTCAATAAACCTGGTCTCATACTGGGTGACTGACATAGATCCCTGATGGAGACGCTCGAACTGCCTCCGATAGGCCTCTCGCCGTGTAATAGGGAGAAACTTCTCCAGGAATATATGCGTGAACTGCTCCCAGGTCAAGGCTGGAGATCCTGCTGGTCTAGCTAAACAATAATCCATCCACCAAGTCTTGGCTGACCCAGACAACCGGAATGTAGCGAAATCAACCCCATTGGTCTCAACAATACCCATGTTCCGAAGAACCTCGTGGCAGCTGTCCAAATAATCCTGAGGATCCTCGGTAGATGCACCGCTGAAGGTAGTAGTGAAGATCTTGGTGAACCTATCCAACCTCCATAAAGAATCGGCAGACATAGTTGCCCTATCACCGGCCTGGGCTACCACACCCGGCTGAGCTGCTCCAACTGGCTGAACTTCTGGAGTCTGAATCGGGGGAGCTCCCTGCTCCGGAGTATGAGTAGCAGGAGTCTAGGCCCCTCCTCCAGCCTGAGAGACGGCTAGTGCTACAGGAAGCAAACCTACTCGGGTAAAACTCTCCATCAGACCTACCAATCGGACCAGAGCGTTCTGAAGAACTAGGGTAGCAATAAACCCCTCTGGGACCTGAGCTGGGCCCACCGGAACTGCGGAGGCTGGGGCCGGAACCTCCTCGTCGAAGTCAACCTGAGGCTCCGCCAATGGTGCTGCTGCTCGGGGCTGAGCTCTGCCCCTACCTCGACCTCTAGCACGGGCCTCGTCCTCTGCCCCTAGTGGGAGCTGCCTGGGGCTCGGACTGCTGGTCAGAAGATGAGGAATCGTGTGTTCTCGCCATCTGCGAAAGAACAGAGTAGAAATTCAATTAGCATTTGAGGAACAAATTTGCACGACAAGAAAGAACAAATATGAGATTTTTCCTAACTCTGTAGCCTCTGGGGGATAAATACAGACGTCTCCGTACCGATCCCTCAGACTCTACTAAGCTTGTCCGTGAGTTGTGAGACCTATATAACCTAGAGCTCTGATACCAACTTGTCACGACTCGAATTTCCCACCCTCGAGAGTCGTGATGGCGCTTACTAATGAGAGCTAGGAAAGCCAACCTTTAATTATCTTTGTCATTAACCAATTTACCTCTTTTAACAATTATCAGTAATATCATGAAAACAGCGGAATAAAATAAATAAGCGGAAGTCTTAAATTAAAGAATCTGAACAACAATGCGGAAATCAACATAAACCTCTACCCAAGAACTAGTGTCACATACTCACGAACTACTAAGAGTGCTAAATACAAACGTTTGAAAGAAAATATAACTGTTTGTCTCTAAATACATGAGATAACAGACTGAAATAAAAGATAGAAGAGACGCCGGGCCTGCGGACGCCTGCAAGGTTTCTACCTCGGTGTCTCGCTGGACTGAAGGCTAACTCCCGCGCTACTGCAGCTGCTGTCCAACACCTGGATCTGTGCAAAAGAGCACAGAGTGTAGCATCAGCACAACCGACCCCATGTGCTGGTAAGTGTCTGGCCTAACCCCGGCAAGGTAGTGACGAGGCTAGTACCAGACTCCAGACAAACCTGTGCAGTTATATAAAATATTGCAAAAAAATAAACAAGTAATGAGCAGTTATAAGGGAGGGGTACATGCCTCGGGGAAACAATTCAACTTAGCAAAAACTGAATTAAATATGAAGGAACAGTACAATGTCTAAAACAATATGATAGCACTACTGTTGCGGCGCGCAACCCGATCCGTACGGGTAAATATAACTATTGCGGCGTGCAACCCGATCCACTAATTATAAGATACACCTGTTGAGGCGCGCAACCCGACCTAATACAATATATGTTGCGGTGTGCAACCCGACCCAATACAATATATGTTGCAGCGTGCAACCCGATCTAATATAACGTATGTTGCGGCGCGCAACCCGTTCCAAATATACATAGCTTACAGTAATCATAACCACAAATCCCGGCAGGGGGATTAATCATAAAATACTCTATCCCGGCAAGGGAACTCAACAGTACAAGTATACTCATCCCGACAAGGGAGAACCAGCTATAACCAATCTCAATTCGAATTTTAACATTTCTATTATCACCATTTCTAACTCATGATTAACTTCCACGAAAATAAGCTAAGCCTTTGCTCAATATCACAAGTCTACTCACTATTTCATCCATAGTATTATTCAAGAACACAAAATGTCAATTTAAGACTCACGGTCATGCTCGACACCGACGTATAGATACTCGTCACCATGCCTATACGTCGTACTCCACAAGAAACACATTAACAAATATGACTCAACTCCTAATCCCTCAAGCTAGGTTAGACCAAACACTTACCTCAAACTTCCACGGACAAATAAATCCTCAACAACCGCTTTCCCTCTCGAATTCGGCTCCAAATCAATCAAATCTATACAATAATGACGTCATAACATCAATACATGCTAAACAAATCAAGCCCAATGCCTAATTACAGATTTCCAAGCTCTCTTCCCAAAATCCCAAAAATCGACCCCGGGCCCGCTTGGTCAAAACACGAGGTTCGGACCAAATCAAATCCCACATTCACCCACGAGCCCGAATATATAATTTGTTTTCAAATTTCGACCCCAAAAAAACGAGGTCTAAAATCAAGTAAAATCAAAAAGCCCCAATCCCTACCCATTTCTCTAATTTCTACCCTTAATTAGATGCTTTAGGCTTAGGAATTCATTAGATGTTGAAGAAAATGGGGAAAAAAGCAAGGATTACTAACCCAAGAAGTCTTTGCTGAAGGATAGCTTCAATGGTCGCCTAAGAGCTTGGAGAAGAAAGGTTTTTGTGAAAACTTGGTAAAATCCCGTAGCTAATGTTTCTGAAGTTTAAAAATAACTGGGCAGAAAAATGCTATATGCGATCACGAAGAAGGTCATGCGATCGCATAGGGATAGGAAGGTTGGCCATTGCGATCGCAGAAAGGGCATTGCGAACGCATAGAGGAAACTAGCTCCACTCTCAGGTTTGGCTTTTTGTGAATTGCGATCGCGGAGAAGGAATGCGATCGCATAGAAGAAATAGGTCGGGCATCGCGATCGCGAACAGAACTATACGATCGCGTAGAGGAAAATAAAGGGCTTCTCAACTTTACACTATGCGATCGCGGAAGGAGGCACGCGAACGCGAAGGAGGAAAAATTAGAGCATCACGAACGCGAGAGGAACAATGCGAACGCGTAGAAGAAACTGGGTCTGCAACAGCTGAAGCAAATCTGCAATTTTTTCTAAGTTTGAAACCACTCCGAAACACCTCCGAAACACTCCCGAGCCCTCGGGGCTCCTAACCAAACACATGCACTAACTCAACAACATCCTACGAACTTAACAGTGCGATCAAATCGCCAAATAATCATCAAAAACAACGAATCAAACTTCAAAATCACTAGTTTTCCTCAAACTTCATTAACTTTCAACTTTTAAAATTTTAAGTCTGAAACACGTCAAACGACGTCTAATTTCAACCAAACTTTACAGAAACATCTTAAATCACATATAAGACCTGTACCGGGCGCCGGAACCAAAATACGGGCCCGATACCAACACGTTCTAATCAATTTTTATTTCAATTTTCCTTAATAATTTCAGAAAAATAATTTTACTCAAAAATTCATTTCTCGGGCTTGGGACCTCGGAATTCGATTCCGGGCATACGTCCAGGCCCCATATTTTCCTACGGACCCTCCGTGACCGTCAAATCACGGGTCCGGGTCCGTTTACCCAAAATGTTGACCGAAGTCAAATTTATTCATTTTAATACCAAAATTTAGCATTTTTCACACAATTTCACATTTAAGCCTTCCAGCTACGCGCCCGGATTGTGCACGCAAAACGAAGTGACTATAAATGAGGTTTTCAAGGCCTCGGAAGCACAGAATGGATAAGAAAATAGGTGATACCCTTTGGGTCGTCACAAGGTACGTGGTAAAGTTGGGAGAATCCTTGATTTCTTGGAAATCAAAGAAGCAGCAGGAAGTAAGCAGAAGCTGAATACAAAAGCATGGGAGCAGCAATCTCAGAAGTAATTTGGCTAGAAGGATTACTAGTTAGGTATGCCAGTTTCCAGACCTGTACAGCTATTTATGACAACAAAGCACCAATTCGGATTGCTTCTAACCCAATCTACCATGAAAGAACCAAGCATATCGAGATAGATTGCCACTTCATTAGAGAAAAAATTTAAGAAGGGCTGATACAAGCTCAACATGTGAGCACCAAAGATCAACTGGCCGACATACTGACAAAAGGCTTAAGAACCGTGCAACATCAGTACTTAAAGTCCAGCTTGGAGTATTCAATGTATTTCATCCTCCAGCTTGAGGGGGAGTATTGAAAATGTATTACAATTAGAGTTAGTTAGTCAGTTACAAGTGGAGTTAAATACAATGCAAAGACATGTGACTAGCAGGTGTCCAGCTAAGAAGCACTAATTACTCTGTATAAAAGGACGGTCTTCTTCCCTCTCTGAATAACAGAAACATTACACAAAAATTCTCTCTAGAATATTCTACCGCTGCATTGCCTATGATAGCCTCTTCTCGTAGCTGATCTCCCGTCAATTTGACAGAAATTAAAAGGAAAAACTAGTGCATAGTAATAGTATATTCTTTCTGTTCAAAATCGTAACCTTACGGACTTCAGGAAACAGATAGTCCTAACTGATATTCTCCTCCGTGCAAATAAAGTGATAAAGCGCCTTTCATTAAACAAACAAAAAGAGGTACTACTAATATACAATGTGTACGATCAGTACGTGGTGGAACCAAAATGAGAGGTAATATAAGGACAAAACTAAAAACCTTACATTATAATCACCGTAAAATATTACAATTTTCACAGCATTTTTACCACCTTCTCGACAGTTTTTCTCTTCATCAATTTTGAGACGGATGTACTGTGATGTAAATAAAAATGACTGTGAAAACAGCACCTTTGCCTTTTTTTTTTTTTTTTTGGTTTTCCTTTTTGCCTAACCCTTAAAAGCTGAACACATTACAAGAAAATATTGCTGGGACCCAAGAAATACTTATGGGTCCCACATCTTCATGCTGTACTAGTAAATACACGTTGACGTGAAATACTCAAAAGCAATCTTTATGAAAAAAGATGTCCCTCACGTGGTCACCACCTAAAAATCACGTGAGCACCACCCTCCTCCACCGCTGCCATGCAAGACAGGCAACTCAGCTCCGACTACTCCAGGCTTTAAGGAGAAAACAGAATGCCAGATCTCTGTAAAAGCTCTAACAATGACGCCATGGTAGTAAGGAGAATTAAGCTGTAAAAAACAGTTAAGAAGCTCTCTTAATTCGTCTTTAGAGTATATCTCCTTTTCAAGAATCATTTGAAGCATTGACTGCCGGAAGTCAACGTAAGGGTCGTCGGAATCTTTCTCGACGGCGACACTCTTGCCGCCGATCCTGCCGAAGCCTTGAACGTCCCTCTCGGTGTCGGAGGAGTAGTAGGCCGGAGAGAAAGTGGTGGTAGTAGTAGCGTTAGAAGAACTAGAGGAGGAGTAGTTGTAGGCGGGGTTGTGGTGGTGCTTGGTTGTTCTCTGGTAGTGGAAGGCGGCGGAGTTGTGGCGGCGGGGCTTAGGGTGGAAAATGCTGGAAAGTTTAGGGCGTCGGCAACTGCTGCTGCAGCCAAGTTTCACTGTCACGTTGCTCAAAATAATCTTTCTCTTGTGAGTTGACATTATATTGCAAGATTAAGAGAGTGTTATTTTACTCAGTGAGGATTTTGCCGAAGGGTAAAGTTTTATCTGAGTTTGTTTAACGAAAGTCAGCGTGACTAAGGAGCTGCATTGGACTGAGGGAACTTATAAATTCTATGGGTGCTAGAGCTAGAAAGAATAGAATAAAAGTTCTTCAGTTATTAGAAGGTATCTTCTTGTTATTCTTACAGCCAGTTGAGATAACTAGTAATTGATGACACACACGCATGGAGTAGTACGAGTAGTATTTATTATTGGATTCAAGTTATAAACATTTGGACAGTGTAAAGATTTTCTTTATATTATCTATCATAGCAGATAACCTTTTTTTTTTTAAGACTATAAATTTCATTTTTTATGGAGGGATATCTGATATGATTTTAAATAACTTGATGTTTGATTTTTTTTTTTATACAATCAGTATATGTAAGGTACATTCTTGGGTACTTATTGTTTGACCAAAAAGTATTGTACTCTTTGTTAAACTAATACAATGATAACTGAGGTAAGGTGAATCTTAGTCAAACATAATAATTCTTAGATCTAGCTTAGAGTTTGGGTGATACCGTTTATTATGAATCGTTTAATCAATCATTAAATGTGCACTTTAGAGAGTAAATGAAGAGTGAGTAACGAGCAATAAATACGAGAAATGGCAATAAATGTAAATAAGAAGAACATTTCACCCAAATATCAAATGATGTGGAAGACTCTTCCCTCTGACAACGAAATATGGCAGTAAACAAGAATATAAGCAATGCTTTCTTGGATCACGTGAGTGAAAAGGAAGAATAATCGATAAAATCAATCACTATGGAAAGGTGAACTTTATATTTTCTCTCAAGGGTCAACTCCTTTCAATAGTTTTCTCCGATCCAATCTCACATGCCCCCTTTTCTTCTCCCTATCTTTCTATTTATATGGGATGTTCTCTAAAACCCTAAAAAGTACAACAAGGGGAATATCTAGGAGAATATTCCTGTCACTAGTTCCAAGACTACACTAGCTGTTATTCCTACTCTTTGCTACTCGACCTCGACCTCTACGGCTCACTTAGCGACTGTTTGTTGTTGGGCTTTGGTCGACCTTGGCCTATTCGTCCAAATTAGAACATAGTCTTTTCACCTTATGATCTTCCCACACCCAATTATCTCGGCAAGATATTGACCCATTTAGTTAGTCCCTTCGCTTGTTGGGGTCGCCTTCCCGTCGGCCCCGACGAGCGGACCATTTCAGTCGGCAATTTGTGAAGAAATTTTTGGCGTGGTGATCGAGTGGAGGTGTTTGTTGCCGAAGTAATGACGTGTCCCTTTGAGATTCGTAGGTCATGGGGTTGGTGCAGGATGACGTCACAACGTATGCATCATCATTACGCATCTTTCCAATGCATTGCCTCGTTCCTCGAGTCCCTGTCATTTCGAATCTAAGGCCAGTGGCAGTTTCTTGCATCGATTCGATCGCCCCTGAGGTCTATAAATAAGGACGGGGAAATTTCTCAAAGAAACTTTTGCACTCTTCTAGTTTCTTCAGCCCTGCAATTGCTTACTTTTCTCCTTCTTGTGTTCTTGCTTCCAGTAACCGCTGCCATTGCCACCCTTTCTTCTTTTTCTGTCCCCTCGTATACACGTTATCAGAAAATGGCTACCGTGACCCCCAACGCCGAGATAATTTCTGACCCCACTTCGCTATCAGCGGCCATGCCTTCTGGTAGCGGAGAATCAGCGGTGGTGGAGGATGAAAGCTTTCCCACTGTGAAGGAGATCATTCCTCGTAACCCTACTTCCAGGTCTGACTTGTCTAAGGAACCCACCACGAATCGAAGTCTGCGAAGTCGGATATGGAGGCGAAACATCTTGCCGTCGTAAGGGCCAAATACGGCATTTCAGCCCACGTTGACCTGGTTCCGGCCAGAGACGGCGTGATTCAAGTTCACAGACCTGGGTATTGTGCGGATTACGCCTACCCATTCCATATAGGATACTCTCTTCCTCTTCCTCCATTGGCAGAGGAGTTTTGCCGCTACTACCATATCTGTCTGGCACAGCTCTCTCCCTACCTTTACAAGATTTTCCTTATGTTGGCGAAGTTTGCGAAGCTCGCTGGCTGCGAAGTCTCTATCTGCCATCTTCTGTACCATTTTGTGTCGAGCTTCCATAGAGGCACGATGATTCACCTCTGCTACCACGGAACTAAAGGGTTTTTGGCGGGATGGAGGACAGGACGAACCGCCGGCTCTAGGCCCATTATTTCTTTGTTAAAACCGAGCACGTGGTGGCAAACCCCAGTGACTTTCCTGAACAATGGAATTTTGCTCGTAAGTATCGTTATTTGGAGTACATTCTTCTCTCCTCTTCGTGATTCGTGACTTGTTACATCGTTTTTACTTTTGCAGTTGAGAGGCAACCCCCATATTTGGTCGCCAACATTAGTGACTGGGTGGCCCGCGTTTTGCCTCACACCATAGGTATCCGTGACTGGGCGTCCTTTAATAAGAGATTCGGGCTCAAGCTCTCGGCCGGTAAGTCGGGTTTCGCCCTTATTACTATTTCGCTTTTGCTGCGGTGCATGTCTTTTTGTCATTTTACGGTTTTCCTTTGATGCTAGGTCGGAGAACTTCTAAGAAGGTGAAGGCTCCTGTCCCCGCATTTCGTCAGGCGGTTGCTTCGGCTGGGATGCAGTTCGTGTTGGCCGAGTCTGTGCGAAATACTTCTTCCCAGACTCCGTTATTAAGCGAGCCTGGTCGTCAGACGGCCACTCCGTCAGTGGAGGTCCCAGCTTGCCCGGTGAGTCATTTAGTGGATGAATCTTCCACTGGCGAGGAGGAAGCGGCGCCATTGAAGAGACGACGAGTGGAAGCCGTGGTCACACCCGAACGGGCCATGACCGTGGTTATGGAGGCGACGTTCACTTCAGCTACGGGGACGGCTCCCCTGCCGGAGATTGTCGCAAAAGTTAGGTCATTGGAGACGATAGAGGCAGCTGCGGAAATGGAAATACCAGGGGCAGCCGAGTTTGGCTCATCGTCTGCTGGTGTTAGAGGAGAATGGTCGTCGTGAAGGATCACGGGTCTGGTTCTGATATCGACCCCGAGGAAGTACGACCTTCGAGGAGAGATTTACTCGAGTGGAGGTGAGGACCGAGGGGTCCACTCGAAATATTGTCATCCCCGTGGAATTTAACTTATTGGTCAACTCAAAGAGCGTGGTTCCAGCTTTGGCCCCTCTATACGCGGAGCCCGAGAATAGGACCTTGCAGACGCTGAAGGATGCGGACCTGTCATTAGGCATTTCTGGGATGGCCCTGCGAGTAAGTCTCTTTTTAGCGTTTCAATTTCTTCTTCCTTTTACGTTATTTGTCTTTGCTGATCCTTCTTCATCTGTTTATCAGACCCTCATCTTGGAAATTGAGAGCACACGTCGGGAGGAGAAGAGGACGAGACTCTACAAGAAGATGGAGTCAAAATACAGAGAGTACCGTACAAAGTACAAAGCCCTGGTCTGTATGCTTGGTGAGGACGCTTTGTTCCCAACCCTCCATGACGATCTGAGGCAGAAGAGTGAGGAGTTGAAGGCGAAGGATGACGAGTTGGAGGAGAAGGACGACGAGCTCATGAGGATTATTGGCAAGTGCAGTGAGCTTGAAGAGACGTTAAGGGCCAAGAAGGATGAGCTTGAGGTGAGCAAGGGGGTCATGGCTGAGTGCGGTGATCTCTAAGCTCAGGTGACGTCCTTAAAGGCCGAGCTTTAGCAGAGCACAGCTGTGGTTAACAGCTTAAGGGACGAGTGTGAGCACGGGATTTTTGCCTCGCTTAAATTACTCCTACAGAATTCATTAAAATTAGGATTTTTTTTCTTTTATTAATTGAATATTAGGGAATTAATTGCATGATTTTGTGATTATGTGCATTTTTGTGCATTTTTAATTGATATAACTCATGAAAAATACAAAAATAGCATACTTGCATTTTTAGAACCTCTTTTTTAACATTTTTTCTCATTAGTTAATTAACATTACAAAAAAATAGAAGAAAAATAACAAAAAAATAGTTCTTTTGCTTTTCATTTTTAATAGTCTTCTTTTTAAATTAGGATTTAGTTTATTTTAGAAAATTAAGTAGTCTAATTTTAGGGTTAAATTAGGTTTTGTTAGTTTTAATTTTGCAAAGAAGAAAAATAAATAAAAACAAAAGAAGGAAAGGAAAACCAACAAAAGAATTTTTATTAATTGAATTGAAAATGCAAGAAAAAGGCATCAAGCCACTCAATTTTGGGCCCAATCTCACCTAAAATCGGACCTGAACATGCCAGCCCAATCGTATTACCCGGTCCAGTCTAGCAGAGGGCAAAACGACGCCGTTTAGTAGGAGTTTAATCTTGGCCGTCTATGTTTCTTGATCGGACGGTCAAGAAGCCCAGATCACTAAGTATATAACTGTCCTAACGCTACCACCCCTTCAGCCCCCTACCTCTTGTCTCTAACCCCAAACCCTAGAGATTAGCCGCCCGTGTATTCTCCGTCAACTTCGCCGGCGGCGCATACGCGAAACCCTCCAATGGCTCCCAGATTAACACCATAGCATCCCCTCCGTCCCCTCTCTCCGAATCCAACTTCAATTTTCCTCAAATCCTATCCTAGCCTCTCAAATTTACAAAACCCTAGCACCGCCACAGTTTCTCCGGTGGCGGCGCCGCCTCCAAATCACCTCAAAATAACACCCTAAGAACTCCACAACCCCCTCACCACGAATCCTCATCCCGTTTCTTTCAAACATTTCTGGAGCTTCTCGAAAATCAAATCGAAGAGCTGAGCCTTGCTTCTAAATGCATAATTCAATGGGTTAGGGAGGTTTTTAGACGGTCTTGAACCTTGCTCAGCTGTTTTCACAAGATTGAAGCCTAATCCGGTCAAGAATCAAAAGCTTTCTTCAGTTCGAGTTGTCCGCACAGTTTTAGGTATTTCTTCATTTTTTTTTGCTAGTTTCTTCACTTCCCTTTTTATTCTTCGTTTCCATATGATTCTTCTTCTTTTTCTAGACTTCTATTTTACACTGTTCACAAATTCTTATTTCTCTTATGGTTAGTTTTAAAGAGATTTTAGGATAATTAGCTATCACCAATAGTTTGTTTAGCCGTTTAGTGTTTAGCTTTGTTAATTGAATTGAATCGCTTCTGTTTTGTATTATTTTTCGATTTTGGTTTGTTTT